CACACACTTTTAGAATGTATTATTTACACTTACTCGTCCTTCTGGTTACGGTTGAAGCCGTGAGCAGTGCTTCTGATACTGATCCGAACGCCTTGTAAGTGCTGTCCCTTGTGCTGTATTCTTGTTTTGGTTTCTGGCTTCTCATGGTTCTATTTCAATAGAAATGCGCTCCTGAAAGTTGATTTTTCAGACTCTCAAGGACAAAACGATATGGATTTTGGGGAGATAGTCTACAAAATCCTTACTACGGAGGATGGGGAGGAAGATGGGGTACTACCGGAGTTTACGGAGTTTATGGAGGGTACGGAAGCTCTGGAAGATATGGAGGATATACTCCCTATAGCACATGGAGCGGAGGATCAGGATTATATGGAGGATATGGACTCTATCGTCCTTACAGCTTATGGAGCGGGGGGTGGGGAGGATATAGCGGATATCCAGGATATGGAGGAATGGGGCTTTATGGGACTTATGGAGCAACTGCGCCCTATCTTCCCTACAGTTCATGGAGTGGAAGATGGGGAGAATACGTAGGATATGGTAGTGGAATCGGCGGCTGGAGAGGATCCTAGAGTCGGCACCATCACAAAAGTACTTTTTGCTCTATTGCTACGACATTACGGTTATTTATCGTTTGTACAATGTATCCAAGTCTGAGAGCGTTGATATTAACATGTAATAATTCTGTTATATATTTCTGTTATAAACCTTGCGTGGTGCTCTGAACATTGATGCCGGAATGAGATGTCAGAAAAGACCTAGCAAAAAGGAATTGGAAAATTTTCTAGCTTTGAAGTAATTTGATCATATATCAGTAAACGTTTGCATAGTAGTCCTGTTTTTAGTGCATGGCCAACAAGAAGTGACATTAGGAAGAATGGTATTCTCGCTTATATTGTACACAATAAAAGTCTGCAAACTATGAACCATGCGTTAATGCCTGACTGTGTGCTGGCAGAATTGCTCTCGAACATGACCTTCAGTTTGTGTGAAAATTGAAAATCAAGCCTTTTTCTCTTTTTGGACTAATATTTGCGAGGGAATATTATCAAGACAAGAAAACATCGATGTCGCTAACACGGCGAAACAAC